CGGCATTCTTCACGTAAGTGTGGGGCCCGTGGCTACCGTTGGCGACACGGTAGGTGTCAAGTGTAGCAATTGCTCAGGAAGAGGGCACGCAGACACAGAGCACACCGTCATGCGTGGTGTCCTCTCCACACCCAGGGAGACTGTCCACGCCACGCTCACGTCCCGCCACACGAAATGCTCTCGCCGCTTTCGCCGTCGGTTTCCGTTTTGTGAAGCCGTGGTGGGTGCCTGCTTCTTGAAGTCCGTTCGAGATTCGCAGCCGATTAGACCTACTGAGTCAGCACGGGCATTCTAACAAGAGCCCACGTGGTTTGCGTGTACTTTGGAGTTTTCGAAGCACGGGTCGATTGGATATTGTTTCAGATCCTCACATTAACCCCTACACAGTCCGTAGATCAGAGAGGGAAATGAGGCAGGGAGGCTGGGTACTCTGCACACTATCACCCAGCCAGAAGCAGGGCTTGAACCCAGGTCTACCTCACTTTGCAGCTGAAGTTCATAATCAGCGTGTTTGGTCGCAAAAGCTATTGGTAATTTTAGTAGAGGTGTGCATCTTCCCATGTGTACACAGAAACAGATGTGTGTTTACATGTGTGTACACAGAAACACGTGCATGTGTTTACATGTGTGTGCATGGAAAACGCATGTGTACATAGAAGTGCACTGTGCATTGTGTGCATAGAAACACGTCGTTCTGAGGCCAGGTCAGTGTTTATTGAATTTTACTTGGTGAATACTGACATTCCCCCCACGGGAAGCCCCTGTAAGAGTGGTTTACATCAGTGACATGACCTGAGTGTGCGCCACCTTTCCAGTGTCTTCAGAGGAAGGTGAAGGAGCTCAGATGTTTGGTTAAGGTTTCTGTTTTTGGGTGACGCCAGTGTAAATAATAGTTACGTGTGAATCTCAGCCGACTCCCTGGTGTGGCTGCAGACCTGGCTGGTTAGCAGTGAGCAGCGACCAACTGACCTCTTAGACCAGGTTAATACAGAGAGCTGCTCGGGCCTCCAGTTTCTGTCCTGCCTCCGTGATCGTCACAACCGTATCACAAACCTGCTGCCTCGCACCACAGGAAACGAGATGCCCTAGTGACTGGATGGGCAGAGAAACCACGAGACCTTGATGGGAAAGACCCCGTCGTCTCCTGCCTGCTGGGGACTTTGGTCAGGAACTGAGGCATGTGTGCAGCTGGGGGCTGAATGAGCAGGTCCAGTTCAACAGAGCTTGAACGTCCGGCCCGATCTCACTGCTCTTCTCGTACAACGAGGGCAGAAAGCAATCGTCATTGTAAATCACTCTGTGGAAGTGACACTTCTTATACTTAACCTTGAGTTATTGACTGTGAAGGTAGCTTCAGTTTCAGCTCCGATTTCTGGAGGCCCAAATAGAGGGAATCCCTAGAGAGGTTTATATCACACAGGACTTTCTGTCAGAGAAAGTACTGACAAATTCCTTTCCACTGTGTCAGAAACCTCTCCAAACTTCCCCAAGACACAAACCCAGGAATTCTTTCCCTTCTTTCTGTTGCACACACAGATGCAGACACACACACACACACACACTGATAGCCTAGTATAATAGCATGTTCACATGTCACAAGACAAAAAGGAAGTAAAGGCCCTCGTAAGGATTCTCCATGTTAGCGTCTCAGAATTCTTGCAAAAGAGAGGAACAGGTAAATGGACTTAACACATCCACCAGACAGTAGAGGTTTCAGCTTAATCTGCAAGTCGACTCCAGAGCCAGCCAGTGGCTTAGTGGTTAAGGTAGCTGGATCCTGTATAAACCATGGCCTGGCCAGAGTCCCAGACCCAGCTGTTTGAAAAAGCCACCAGGTGTGGGTGCATGCATGCCCAAAATCCTGAAAGGAGAAATGGAAGGTTAAAAGAAAGTTGACAGAATTTGCAGGGACTAAGGCAATTCATAATAAATTCTGAAGACAGGATGGGCAGGTTGTCCCGAAATCAAGCCACCAAATTTCCACCCTCACTGTGATATGCCTGAATTTGCTGGGTGACCTGGGGCGGGCTGGGAACGTCCCATTTCTGGACTGCCTCCCATGCAAGACGCAGACGCTACAGCCAGGGTGACAGGTACACCTTTCAAAGCTTCGTCCCTTCAGAGTGTGGACCAGACAGACTCCTGGGAGTACTTTCATTCTCTCGAAACTGCAGGTTCAATATAGAAGTAAGGTATGACATCTCAGGAGTTACATGAAGAAGCAGCATAAATGATTCTTTTTAAAATTTTAACACAATTTAAGACCAACATTATCCCCCGCTGACCAAGAAAATCAAGCTTCTATAGCTCAGTAGAGCAATCTCCTCATATAAAGAAGGCAGCTCGACATTAAACAGGCAAGTGCCTGAAGAGGAAAGTGAGGACTGAAAAACCTCAGCAGCCCTTTGAGAGGCTCCTGGAAGAATGTAGTGCAGGCTGCTCGCCCGAAACCTGACAGGGCTCGGCGGTCTGTCGTCTGTGTGGGTGGATAGACAATAGGCAGGCAGAGATGGAATTTCAAGTCGGGCTCTGGAATTAATTTACGCTCACATCAAAGTCAGTGAGGTTGGTGTTCAAGAAGAAACACTTGAATAAAAACTGACAGAAGGCTTCGTTCCCTCTCCTGCAGACACAGAGGTTTTTAATCCCAGGAGCCGTAAAAACTCCTCCGAGCCTCCGACAGCCCAGGGCTTCCTCTGCCTGGTGCAGCCATTGCCATGAGGTGACCCATGAGTGGAACAGCTTGGGACAGGCATGAAGCTCTCAGAGCAGACAAGGAGGAGGGCTCCTCCCACGTAACCGGTCCTCAGACCTAGATGCAGCCCTGCCGGGTTGTTCTAGCCTTCGCTCCCTCTGCCTTGACTCCCTGAGCACAGGTTCTCCTTGCACATGCACCAACACGCACATGCATGCTTCACTGGTGCACACACACACACTCACACATGTGCCCTCCAAACTCTCTCACACATGTGCCCTCCAGATTCTCTCTCTCTCACACACTCACACACGTACCCTCCAAACTCTCTCACACACATGTGCCCTCCAAACTCTCTCTCTCACACACACACACACGTGCCCTCCAAACTCACACACACAGACGTGCGCACCCTTCACACATACATGCACGCCCTCCAAACTCACACAACTCACAAACACACACCCCCTCCAAACTCACACACATGCCCTCCAAACACACAGCTCATACACACACACCCCATTCAAGCTCACACACACACACACACATGCCCTCCAAACACACAGCTCACACGTTTGCCACTGGCTAGCTCTTCCAGTCTTAGACCACTCAAGGCCAAAGTGACACCCATCCCTGTGGCCAGCAGGGATGTCTTCTGTAAAAGGCTGACCTGTCTGCTGCCAAGGGAGCATAAAAACTGGCCAGTGTGGGCCCAGAGAGCCCAGTGCTGCCCGACGACGCTGAGGCTGCCTGGGACGCTAAGGCCCCTGACCCGAAGTCTCCCAGCACAGCCAGAAATCCTCCCGGTGCAGAACTGGCTGAGGCTGGGACTGGCTCAGAGCAGGAAGACCCTGTCGAAAGGGTCTCTCTCTCTCTCTCTCTCTCTCTCTCTCTCTGTGTCTCTCTTCTTCTTCTCTTTCTCTCTATCTTTCTCTCTCTTTCCATCCCCCTTCTCTTTCTCTCTCTCTCCCATGGAAGAAATTAAAAAGTAAGCTTTAAAAAATACTGGGGCCAGCAGGTGGCATGGTAGTTAAGGTCTCTGGATTCCCACATGGCCAACTGTGGTTCAAGTCTCAGACCTGGCAGCTTGCTTTCTCACTTTCTCTCTCTCTCTCTCTCTTCCTCTGTCTCTCTCTGATCAAATTAAAATAAATAAGTTAAGTAAAATAATCCTTTAAAAATACATTGACTAATTGAATATTTAAAAAAGAAACAGGACAATAACAAAAAAGAGAATGTGGGAATTAAATGTATTACTCGGAAGTGTGGGCTGCCGTGGTGCAGGAGTGGCTGCCGGAGGGTGACGTCAGAAACCAAGCAGCAGACTTCCTTCACAGAGTGCTTGGTGCAGGCTGAGAGGCAGGTTAGAAGGGAAACCCAGGGGCCAGCGGGCGGCATGGCGGTGACGGCAGCTGGATCCCACATGGCTGACTGCACAGTTCAAGTCCTGGACCTGGCAGCTTAAAAACTATGCTGGGTATGCGTGCATGCCCCAGATCCCAGAGGGAGAAACAGAGAGGGGCGTGGTGTGACTGTCCGTGGGGCGCGCACTCTCACTTCCCCTCTCTAGCTAAACAAGTAAATAGCTGAGAGGAAGGAAGGAAATCCTATCTGACAGATACTTTCATTTTTATGTTTTTTTTTTTTAGAGAGAGATTTTTGCTATAGGGCACATACAGTCACCAGAGAAACAGAAAGCAAGAAATCTCCCCCCTCCACACACCCGGCCCCTGAGGAGATAGCCACGCCGCAATCCCTTCTCCTCCATTCTCCTCTCGGGGTCTTGGGTACACACACACACATGCCCAGCGTGAGTTTAAGCCACTGGGTCTGGGACTCAAACTGTGGTCGACTATGTGGGAGTCCAGCAACACAGTCATTATGCCAACTGCTGGTCCCCCTTTTCTTTCTTTTATTTTTTAATTATAAAATAAATAAATAAATAAATAAATAAATAAATAGCTTTGCAGTTTTTCACTGATCACTGTATTTAAATTTCTGTAATAAAATTATTAGTATAAATTTAAAATTTTTACTTTCCAGAATTTCCTATGATGAAATATTCAAGCTATTTTTAAAATATTCCCTTCGTTGAGCTATTAATAGTGCATAATTTATCAAAATAACGTAATATATTAAATTTTTAGGACCTAATTATTGCCTATAAAAAGTCAAAAGTTATCAGAAGTTTTCTCTTGGTAAGATAGACAGTGGGTATTTTTCTGACTAGCTTCATAGTTACAGATGAGCGTGTGCAGTACA